AGCTGTATGACAAAGATTTTTTTTTAAATGAAACAAATACATTGTGAACAGAAGAAAGTCTAGAGTCTAGTCCACTGATGGAGAACCTTTTAGAGACGGAGTGGCCAAACTGCAACCTAAAACCCACTTATTTATCGCAAAGTGCCAACACGGCAATTTAATCTGAATACTGAGGTTTTAATTTAGAAAAAACAACTCATACATTAACATCTTTTGTCTTAAAAGAAAAAAACAATAACAAAGCTTTCAGTGATACAAACAACTTTTTATTGAAAGGTAAAAGTTTGCATTTGGCATGCTTTTGAACAATTAATGTGATTTTTGTATGCATGCTGATAATTTGTCTAATCTTGGCTTATACTTTGTAAGTTTGAGAGCAACACATGTAGCACTCAGGTCATCTGTTAGTCTGTTTCTGGTGTCAGAGTTGATATAATTCAAAGCTGAAAATAGTGCGCTCGCTCCAGAGGCTTGTTTTGGCTAGGAAGATGCTTGAGAAATGGCTTTTTCCTGCGAAAACCTAGCCAAAGAGCAAGGCGTGTGTGCCCACAGAGAGGGCTCTGAGTACCCCCTCTGGCACGCGTGCCATAGGTTCGCCACCACTGGTCTAGTCTAATCTATCTTTCACTCTATAGACATTGCGTTGCCTATAAAACCAAGGATTATATTCTATTAATTAATCTATTAATCTATTCTATTTATTTGATGAGCAAATAAAGGGAGGAAAACCACAGTGTCTAGAAAAGTCCAGCTTTTGTGGATTCTTTATAAGAGCATCTCTTTATTTGGGTGTGATTATTTTAGGTTCTGGGTTTTTTTGGAGGGCTAAATTCAGTATTTTCCTAAGATGGTGACTCATTCTTCACAAGCAATCATGAGGGTCTGTTAGAAAATAAGCCAGGTTGCAGCTGTAAGAAAATATTAAGATCAGCTCAGTTGCAATCTGGCTTATTTTCTAACAGAACTGGAATATGACCTCAAGCCAGGAACTGCATTTTAAGAATCCGAAAAGTGAATAATATCACATTATACAAGTGGACAGGGCTGGATCTGGGGGGGGATCATTGAGGGCTTTATTGATAGACACATTTAGGGCTTAAACTTCTATTTTCATCTGCTTTGCATTAATATTGCAAGAAACTATGCCTTAGTTTCCAGTGATCGTAGTCAAAGAAAACCCTGTGGACATACAAAAGGGACTCGGGTATTACAAGTATATTTATTTATTTATATCCCACCTTTATTATTTTTATAAATAACTGATACTCCTAAAATGATTACTCCTACTATAAGTTGCCCTATTTGCCCTAAAACCTTGTTTAAAAAAGAATGTGCCATAAATAATTCTAGCTCA